TCAATGGGCACAGACACCTCTTACTCATTTCCCATTGCCATACCCCTTGCCCATTATCTATACGCATTGCACGAGAACAGAGCTGTAAGAAGAGGCTCATAAATCAAAATGACATGACCAACCAACTCTGGGCATTAATATTTCAACACCATAAATGCGGCGTCAATTCGCACATGGCTGCAAGACGCCGAATGGATGAGGACAGGAGAACACACTGATGATTGCAAACTGTGCATAATAAATAAATATGTATTCCGGTGTGTGTGTGTGTGTGTGTGTGTGTGTGTGTGTGTGTGCGATGCAACGACGGACAACTTCAAGCTCTCCTCTCCAGTCACCAGTCTCCGGTATCCAGATCCAGATTCAGTATCCACTTTGAGCATCAAATCGAATCAAGGCGAGCGTTCAAACATGCAACCAAGAAAGACAAGCCGAGACACGCTCGACTAATTATGGAAATGTCATCAGACGTTTCTGGGTTGGGATGCTGTTTTATGTGGAGACCCCACAAAGTGGGGCTACATATACGGACAACATACATATATGTCAGTAAATGTATGCGCGCGCATAATTTGCTAGCAATGCATCAACACATGCGACAATTTCAGCGGCACTTGCATGGTAATTTATAAAACAGATTTTGTTTTATTTTGTTCCCCCCCGTTTGGCGAGAAATTAAAAGAGAGAGGAACGGACGGAATTTACAGGCAGGCATCGCTTAAGACAGCCAGCGACGCCTTCTAAGTGACAAAAGTTCAGCTCGTGGGTGGCAAAGCCAGACAAAAAACGCCCGGGCCCCCTTGCACAATGATATATGGTTTTGTCGGCTGTCATTTGGCTTTGGAAATTATTGTTGTGGCTTGCACTCTGTGTTTGCCTGGCCTGGCATGTACTATTATACCCTCTCCGCCGTGGCCGTGTTCAACTAGTGAAACGGCCAGAGACGCATTCAATAGAGTTCACAAAATATAATTCATGCCCAGTTTCGTGGAGAAATGTGAATCGGAAATGTCAATAATGAAATTTTGTGACATATACGACTTCATCCGAGCTTATGTGTAAGATCATGACATATATATGGTACATAATAACTAATCAGACTAATCAGGAGTTGAAAAAAATAAATAAATTAATTATATTATTATATATGATTAGAAAATGATTTAAGTATAGAAATGTGAATAATGTTATTTTATCACATATAAGACTTCATCCGAGCTTATGTGTAAGACCATGACATATATATGGTACATAATAACTAATCAGATGGAGTTGAAAAAAATATATAAATTAATTATATTATTATATATGATTAGAAAATGATTTAGGTATATATTTAAATTTATTGTAATATAGAAATGTGAATAATGTTATTTTGTCTCATATAAGACTTCAGCTGAGCTTATGTGTAAGATCATGACATATATATGGTACATAATAACTAATCAGATGAAATTGAAAAAAATATAAATTAATTATATTATTAAATATGATTAGAAAATGATTTAAGTATATATTTAAATTTATTGTAATATAGAAATGTGAATAATGTAAGTATGCTGGGGTTGCATCATATATAAATTAGTTATATTATTATGTAAGATAAGAATATCATTTAAGTGTATATTTAAATATATAGTAAAATAGAACTAAGTTACTTTTTTTTTTAAGATTTACCTCAATGTAAGTGTATGACAAGTTGTGAATATTTGAAAGGCTCGTCTGTATTTGCAATCGCTTTCTTGTTGCTGCAATCGTAAATTTCAATGAATTACGATCTTACCTGGTGCACTGTGTCTGCATTTTAAATATGCAGTCAACACTTATCATGGGACAAGTCGGCGCTTCTAATAGCTATAAGGTAGTCGAGCTGCTCTTTGTCTCACCATTATTTACCTTTGGGGTATGCGGGAAATCTTTTGTTACTTTGGATTGGCTGCTTTAATAGCTACTTGAGGCCATTGTTGAAACATAATTTATTTTTTTTACGACTTTCGCATTGTAATGTTCTTTTTTTTTTATCTGCGCCGATTTTTCATCTCCATTATATTTTGCAGCGAGCAGGAAAAATAAATTTGCAAACGGTAGAAGAAATATTTTCACAAAATTCCCAACCGATAAATTCTTGCCATCGCTTTTTATACAGCAACTCGCTACTTCTCCGCTTCTTCCCCCTCCTCTATATATTGGAGGCTACCTGACAAGTCCAGCTCTGGTATATGGAGATTTTTGGTGGGGTGCGGGGCTTCTCTCTTCAATGATAAATGGACGCGACCAGCGAGAACTATAATGGCCACCGCGGACGCTTTCACCTGCGCTACTAAAAATTAAAAAACAAGTCTTGCGTCGGTGAAATGCTCGACTAACACATACCCTATAGCCGGACTTGGGTGGTCCTGTTGTCATAGTTAAGACAAGAGTTGATTATACCCCTTTTATCAAGGCAGAAAGAGAGCTTGTCAGAAGCATTGAACGTGAACATCGCTTATGTGTAACCCCTCGATTGTGGGACACACGGAGTCGCCGCTCTGCGATTCTCGACTATATGTGGCGAAATGGACATTTATGAAAGAATTATTGATGGCAACGCCAACGCCATGCGGGCGGGTGTGTGTAGCTGGCAAAGTTTATGGCATATTTTTTATGACTCCGCCAACCTCCCCGCCGCCCCCTCCTTTTGCCCAGCAGCGAGCACATGTTAGTCACCCGGAGAGGTCATTCCCAATGTGGGTAGCCAAATGCCAAACCGTATAATACAATAAATTGTCAGGTAGTCACTGGGCGGCTAGCTGTCAAAATGCAAGGGCATGGCTGAAATATAGCTCTCTACTCCTACTCCTGCTCCTGCTCCTGTTTCAAATCTCTCTCTTTTCCGCCACCAGCGCGCAGCGAAAATTTTAATTTATCGACGCCATATGTGGGCAGTGAGCAGAGTAACTATTGGGCCTCAGCCGCCAGCCCTTAAGTTGCCCGTTCGCAGTGCCAACTTCTTTTTGGGGAAATATAAAATTTGATTTACTGCCTTGGACCGTGGTGTTGTTGTCGGTAGCTTCCAACCCCTCAGCTGTGGTGCCCAGCTTTACCGGGCATAATTCAGCGGCAAACCTAGCTGAATGTTATGATTTGTGAGTCTCTGGTTTATTGGCTGCCACTGGACCTGACTCTGTGCCCAGCTTATTTATTTCGTTTCCAGTTAAGGTCCTTCAGATATGCTGGCATAGTACGTATTTGTAATGTTCGACTGAAACCTGGCATTATAAATGCAAATCGAGCAAAATCAATTAGAACAAGAATCAGTGCGAAATTAAAGCATTCGATTAGGTCGTGATCGAAGGAAGCACCAACAACTTTCGTTCTAGATTTTTCAACTCCTTCTCGTCCCTCTTCCCAATTCAATTTTGACTGAGACAACATTGGGTTAAGTTTTTTTCATTTATTGATTTGTTGTAGTGACTTAAATGAACTTTAAAATAGTGTTCATAATTACATTTACATACACATACATAAACATATATATATAGTATATTTATTAATACAATGTACAATGGTTTTACAACTTTTAGTTTTTGGACAATCTTTTTATACCCTTGCAGAGGGTATTATAATTTTGTCGTGAAATGTGTAACGCATAGAAGGAGACATCTCCGACCCCATAAAGTATATATATTCTTGATCAGTATCAACAGCCGAGTTGATATAGCCATGTCCGTCTGTCCGTCTGTCCGTCTGTCCGTCTGTCTGTTTCTATGCGAACTAGTCTCTCAGTTTTAAAGCTATCTTTATGAAACTTTGCAGAATTCCCTCTTTCTGTTGCACGCAGCTCATATGTCAAAACCAGCTGGATCGGACCACTATATCATATAGCTGCCAAAGGAACGATCGGTCGAAAAGTAGGTTCTTGTATGAAAAACATTTTTGTTTATAAAGTTATCTTGACTAAACTTTGTATTTATTAGTTTTACTACGCTCCCCATATATATATGCAAAATCCTATTAAGATCGGGCAACTATATCATATAGCTGCCATAGGAACGATCGGTCGAAAATTAAGTTTTTGTATGGAACATTTTTATGTTTTTCAAGATATCTTGACCAAACTCGGTATTTATTAGTTTTACTAGGCTCCCCATATATATGCGAAATCCTATTAAGATCGGACCACTATATCATATAGCTGCCATAGGAAAGATCGGTCGAAAATTAAGTTTTTGTATAGAAAATTTTTATGTGTTTCAAGATATCTTAACCAAACTCAGTATTTATTAGTTTTACAACGGTCCCCATATATATGCAAAATTCTATTAAGATCGGACAACTATATCATATAGCTGCCATAGGAACGATCAGTCGAAAATTATGCTGTTGTATGGAATTTTTTTGTTTTTCAAGATATCTTGACCAAACTCGGCATTTATTAGTTTTACTATGCTCCCTCCACTTATGCAAAATCTTATTCACATCGGGCAACTATATCATATAGCTGCCATAGGAACGATCGGTCGAAAATTAAGTTGTTGTATGGAAACCTGTTTTGTTTTTCAAGATATCTTAACCATACTCGGCATTAACTATTTTCCCTGTGCTTCTTAGATACGGGCAAAGCACTATGAGCATTTTGAAAAGGTTGGGTCTGCAAGGGTATTAAATCTTCGGTGTGCCGAAGATAGCACTTCTTTCTCGTTTCATTTCAAATTGGTTTTCATATGCATATAACATACAAACATATGTACATGTGTATATATATGTATATATATATATATAGATATTGTTTTGTTTTGTTTGTCAATTAATAAATAATATTAAAATTACCATAAGCATTAAATGGGACACACGGAGAGACACGCTGATGAACAAATTGATGTGTTGTGGCATATCCTTGAATAGAACTTTTCAACTTGCTTGTTTAGCGCCTAAAGCTAAATATTTAAACATTTGTATGTAACTATAGTACATTAGATCACTAGCTTTTCGTTTCACGAGTGAGTTGACCCGCCCCCCCGCCCCGGACGAACTCAAGCAAAATGATTTGACTGAATGTTGACCAACCGGCTCGAACAGCTGCTGCGCCTACTACGGATGCGATGAGCCCATGCGCGGTCCGTATAACGAGTAGGGCGCAAAGTATTGGGCCAGTGCGGCATGCGGCGGCAGGCCGGGCATCCCGGGCGGTGCCAAGGATGGCGGCATCATTGATGGCTTCCCGTACGGATGGTATCGTGCTGCCGCAGACAGCGGGCTCAGCGGCGGGGTGGGATAGGTGCGCTGGAATAGCGGATGATTCGGTGGTATGCCGCCGGCTGCCGCTGCGCTGAGCACCGCATCCGGCACGGAGGCCGTATGTGTGCGCAAATGCTGGAACAGATCGTCGGAGGTTCCGAAGCGCTTGCCGCAATACGCCGCATCGCTGCCAATCCAGGAGCATACGTACGGCATCTGCGAGGCGGCCGCCAGGGCAGCCAGCTGGGCGTGGTAGGAGGATGCAGCCGCTGCCGCCGCAGCTGCCGCACTGGAGCCCCCGGCGCCTGCAGAGCTGCCACCGGATTTTCCCGATCCACCGGCCTCGCACTGCGGACACCCGGCGGGACAGGGCTGCCCGGCTGCTTTGTTAATGTAATGAGGACTGGCCGGACAGCCCGTGCAGTACGGATCACGGCAGATATTTGGTGCTGCTTGCATCATGGCCGACGGGTCCGTCAATCCTTTGAGCCGGGCATAGTTCAAATACGGATTCATAGCCGACGCCTTGAACATGGCATGATGTGGCGACATTAGCGAGCTCGCTGTCATCAAGTCCATTGGATAGGGACTGCCGTAGCCTGCAGATGAGAAATCCACGAATCGATTACAATTATTGTGACAAACCAAACTAGAAACTTCCAGCTCTTATAAGCTCCGATTAGGATATCTTCGACACGCCGAAGATCTAATACCCTTCTAGGCATTTGCCTTACGGGCTTGCAGATTTGTGAAGCTTGTAAATGTTGATGAAAATATCTTGGAGAACAGAATAAAACAAGAAACTACGTTTCGACCGATCGTTCCAATTTCAGCTATATGATATGGTTGTTTGATTCGGCAACAGAAAGAAGGATATATGAGATATAAAACAGACAGACGGTCGGACGAACAGACATGGCTAAATCAACTTGGCTTACTTTATTGGAATGGAGATGCGTTACATATTTCACGACTTATTTATAATACTCTCTGCAAGAGTATAACTACAGGATTTGTTGTCGATTTCTGTCGTGAATACGTCATAAGCTTACGATGTTTAATACGATTAACAAAACAACAGTAGCTACATTCAAATTCTCTAGACTCTAGCTCTTATAGTCTCTTAAATCGACGCGTTTATTTATACGGACAGACGAACGAGGAGTCGGACGGACAAACCAATATAACCTTGGCGGTTTTATATATACTTTACGGGGCCCGAGATGCTTCCTGCTGCATGTTACATACATTCGCACAAAATAATTATGTGTTTTTTATGCATTTTGATTCTTAAGTAAAATTGTGTTCCTCACATAAGAGCAATCCTCTTATCGTAGAGCATCTATTGGCCGAGAATTTTAGACACTATATATCTCCAAGGAAATACCTTTTATTCATTATTATTCAAATATTATTATTCTGCTTTCATTTAAAATATTTTAAATGAACTGAATATTAAAAATTGAATGAGGAAGTCAGCAGAGTTATTCTCGCTATTTTGATCGAAAGGAAGCTAAACATTTTTAGTTTTATTCTTAATGTAGGATTTAGATTATTATTAAATAGGACTAGCTACTATCTATCTGTCTGATCCGAGGTCGGGCTTGGATTTAGTGGAAACGTGTAATTCTCACCTGCAGGATAATAGGAGCCCGCCGAGGAGTTCGCCTGCTGGCTGGCCGCATGCAGAGCCTTCACATAGCTGGCCTCCTTGGCCGCCGCGTAGGCCGCCTCCTGCAGTCGGCTGGAGCTGGCTGCACTCGGGCTGTGCATCATCGCTGCTGACTCTTTGGAATTGCTGCGCACCGGCGCGGAAACCTGCACCGGACTGCCGTTGAGCTGGTTGCCAGTTGTGTTGGGCGTGCGCCTGAGCGCGGCGCCGCCCATGGAGGCGGTCGTATTTGGCGACTCGCGATGGGAGCTGCTGGCACTTTGGTTCGAATCGCAGCGCTGCTGTCCGTTGGTGGATGCCCCGCTCGCCTTGGGCGTCTTTACGCGCTGGTTGCTGCCGTTGCCACTGTTGCTGTTGCCACTGCCGCTGTTGCTGTTGCTACTGGTGAGATTTGTGGCGCCGCAGTCGTTGTTGTTCGTCTCGTAGGGCTTGAAGGTGCTGGGGGTCTTGCTGTGCGCCGGCGGCAGCTGTTGCTGCTCCACGGAGCCGGTGCTAACGCTGGATGAATGACTGCTAACCGGTGAGGATTTATCGCGTGTGTTATCCGCCAGTCCCAAGCCGTTGCCGTTGCCATTGCCGATGCCGCTGCCGCCGCCTTTGGGCTGTTGCTTTGTGGACTTTTCAATATTCGCCGCCAGCAGCTTGGGATTTGTGGTGTCCGCGCCGATAGCGCTGCATGTTTGCGCCAATAGCGCCAACGGGCTGCTCTTATTGTCCAGCTGCAAGTGCATAAGAAGAGTCAGAGTAAAGAATTATTAGCCACTGCCCATATGCATAGCCACAGAGAGAGGGAGGGAAAAAGGGAAGGGCTGGCCAGTTCCTCGATATCGTGCCAGCGACATCAGATAAGAGCCAAACAATCGCAGTGTCGCCTTTTTGGCATTGTCTTACTTTAATGCCCCAAACACTTCCTTGACGGTCGCCAGCATAAAGCACGATATGTGATCTTAATCTTGGGCCAACACTCGCGCGATCATGAAATATCAAAACGGTTCGGCTTGAGTTGGGTTGGGTTGGGTTCGACCCGGCCACAACTGAAGCCCTGGGCTGCTGCCCTTGTTGCGCTCGTGGCTATCATAAATAAGGGCTGATAACCATAAATATGCCCGAGGCGGCCGAATAAATGGAATTATGAGGCTATTAAAACGCTCGCAAATAAAAGATATAAAAAGTACATTAAATATAAAAATTACGACGCAAATGTAGTGTGAAAGCATTTGGGCACAAGCCCATTCTCGGCCAAAGTTATTGCCATGGGGCGCTAAAAATATGATAAAGCTTGTTGCGAAAAACAAATAAGCAACGCCATCGACAGACCGGAAGTCTTTAAATTCTACGGCCTTACGATACGATACTGAAATACATAACTTATATTTTATAATATCATTTAATTTAATATCATCAAAGTATAACTAAGATTGAATCCCAGTTTTATATCATAAATCGAATCTTGAACCACACAAATTGCCCAAAGTTCAACCCGATAAAAACCACATTTTCTGTGCAGGTTTCTCAATTGAAGCTATCCCCATTAAAACAGACATATTGAAGTTGCACGATATAATAGCTGAAGATTTACGTAACTGATGCGTTTGTTAAGATATCTGGGAAAAAGTACTACTTTATACAGAACTTGTGAAGAACCAAACTTCGAACCAAATTTGACCATGATTATAATGTAGCCCGTAAATTGGTATTTTATTCAAGTCTCAGACTTTACGTCTATTGGCCACATTTATTCAAATTAGAATGCATTAGCCCTATACTATATATTACTCTCTCTAACTGAAATTCATTTCTTTTTATGGTATATTTCGGGCTGTTCCTGAAACTAGGAATTATTTTTGCTTATGCAAACGATTTTCAGTTACGATTGGGAGATGACGCATTGTACTCTTGCTAAAAATATAACATTGATTAAAATGTATTTTCATCAGCTTCATTATCGTGATCAATTTGTCAGTGTAATAATTTCTGAATTCGTGCAATTCATTTACCAAAATTGCTGGCCATAAAATGGCCATAAAATATGACAACGTAATATTTGCAGCGATTAGGTGAAGGTTGAAAGACCCTGGGTTAAACATTGGCTATTAATCATAGCCAATAACTAATCATGTTTTAGTGCTACTTTTCAGACTAAAAAGTGAAAATTAGCGATTTTTGCCGAGTCCGAGAAATGCCGACGCAAGGCACAAAGCAAAGTGCATATAAATGAAATGAATATTACCCACTTACAGTTGTGCCATAAACTCGAACACGGCTTTTGCAATAAAATCCATTTCGCCGCATGCCATAAATTATGAACCAGCAGGGCACGCGAGAGAGTGACAGAGAGGGAGAGACAGGGAGAGAGAGAGAGTGTGTGTAGCGAACAGAGCAGAAAACCTAAACTGAACAAACGAGTTGAGAGCCATAATTCATGGCAACTAACAAAGACCCAGCGCACATTGGAAATAATGATGTACCGCTTATGTATTTAGTGTGTGTGTGTGTGTGTGAGCGTTTGTGTGCGTGTGTGTGTGTGTGTGTGTAATTACGCCCAAGCCCAACTGGCGCAAGTCATAAACTACAAAATATTGAAGCTTTTATAACACTCAATGGGCAGCCATAAATTATTATGATACCATTGTAAAAATGGCAAATTTCTTATCGGTACTTAAGCTCTTACACACACACAAACACAAACACACATTTGCCCTAATGGGGATGGGACTTGAGCATATTTTGTTATACGATAAGGACCGCAATTGAGAAAAATTATTTACAGTTAGCTAAATATCGAATGCTACCCTGAAAACTAAATATATAAACATATATTTTTTTTTTGTTATTTGTTAGTTTTTGTCAAAGAACAAAATTGTGGTTGTCTCTGTGGAAATTCCATTCTAGAATTAAGTGCGTCACGTGTTTTCTCACAAATACTCACGACTCAACACGACGTGTTCAAGTCCTCTTCGTGTTCGATTCACGCTTTTTCCACCTGATGTTCAATTTGAATATTTTTTTGATTCATCAAATGTGCATATTTTGGGCCCTGCGATGTGATGTTATCCATAGAAAATGATGATATTTGACATTCAATCGAACAACAACTATGGTTGTTGAACTCAGTCTTTGGGGTAGTCCTCGCGAGCCGGAACTCACTTATTTTTCGGAATTGTGTCAACACTTTATCAATTATAGCAACAACGCGGCGGCCCAGCCAGTCTCGTTCTAAGCACAATTAGCCATAATTTATAATGGACACTGATAAACATTCTTGTATTGATTTTTGGTATTACGCGTATTCGTGTCGCGCATTTGGTGTTGTTTGTGATTTAGTTTATAAATTTAGCGTGTGCAGCCACAATGTATGTACACACACACGCACACACACACACACTCGTGCAGGCTCGACTAATATTTATATTATTTATACTCGCTTAGAGATAGGCAACTCCATATGGGGCTTGTTCAATTTATGATTGAACAATAGTTGTTATTAGGGCTTATGTATATTCGTTCGCGTTGCTGGTGTCAAATATTGGTCAGGTCTAAATAGTCGATTGACTGAGCAGGCCCGAAAAATATCCCAACTATTTACTTGGCTGATATTAGTGTAGAAAAGGTAGTTATAGCACTTAATTAGCACTCGTTGTGCCCGTTGAACATAGTAGACATTTTGAAACGAACAAAATAGGAGGAAAATAAAACATATTCTGTGCTCTTGCATCCGTTAACAAATTATGAACGTTGTGTTAATTAAAATGTTACACCTCGTGAAAAATATGTACAAACAACAACAACAACAACAACAACAGTTAAATGGCAGGCAAATATGAACAGCAACAACCACAATTATAACATGAGCAAATATACAATGATCGAAAAGGTTTCATTCCGTATGGGCACATGTATTTAGTCATGCCTTTTGCACAATCAAGTCACAGTCGCTTGTTAAATGCGGATAATTTAATTAGATACTTCAAACTAAACAGAGAGCCGCATTCCCTGGCATGACTTACTGCAAATACAACTGCATTTGGCATAGCCTGTTAATTAAGCTATAAAGGTGTGTGCGTGTGTGTGTGAGTGTGCCAAAAAAGCACTTGCGCTTGCCTTGACGTTAAAAATACGTATACGCACTGTATTAACTTCCCTATTGGCATAATTAATAAACAAAAGTCCAAGAGTCAAGTTTTGGATTAGGTCTAGCCTAGACTCGAGACCAATTTGCTACTTTTCATATAATAAATTGCTTTTTATAATTCCTAAAGTTAAATAATTTTTTTTTGTTTTTTATTTGTAAAGTGTCCTATATCAAGCGCCAAGCTGTTGCCCTTGTTCCAATCTATGGATAAAATGCGTTCTTTAATAACTTCGGACTCTAGAGTCCGATCATTATGAAAATTGCTGTACTTATATATGCCAGCCAACTGTGTGCATAGGCATATATATATGCCCTGCCTTTACGATTCTTGGAGAACTTCTTCTTCGCCATGTTTTCATATTTCATTTCATTCATAGTCCGATCTGCTGTTTCTTGTTTGACTCAGTCAACTCAATTGCTATTTGGCAGTATCTACTGTACTTTCTTTCTACTGAGAAACCTTTCTAGATAAACGCATGAGCTGTCAAAGAATATGATTCGAAAAAACACACGAAACTACTAAATGTGTCACGTTTTACGCAGCGGCATTTTAATAATGCCCTAAGCCATATTATTTTATGGCTCAAACACTTAGCACTGGGGAAATATGACACATCGACACACTTTAGACGGCAAATATACACTTGAAGCAATATTAAGCATCTGCAGCACGAATAAAAACAATATCTCGAGTGCTGAAGGGGGAGCGAAGCAGAAGAAGTCGGCGCCGATCAACTGGGTGTACTTGAAGCCACTCAAAAAATCATACTTTATGTTAATATGACAAACAAAATGTTGAAACTTTGGAAACAATGACAATGCCAGCCCCCTCAAACCGTGAAATCTGAACAGGCCTCAAGATGTGAGTTCAATTGAAAACTCGTCGAATGCTCGATTGCTCAAAATTGCCAGACAGCCAACAGGCAGCCACAAAAGATGCGCAGATCGAATTGTTGTTTCGTGTTTGTTCGAATTGAAACTTGATGTCTGCTTTACAGGCCTTTGAAGTTTTGCCGAATACAAATATAGATCTAATTTGTTTGATACATACCTTACTATAATATAATGTCTATTTGTTTATGTGCAAATAGAGTGTATTACTAGAAATATTAACGCGGTTGTAATCCCGTAGTTGTAGTTGAAAATAGTTCACGGAACGAACCATTTTCTTGCCATTTGGTTCAATTCGTGAACTTGGGTTTTCTTAGCCAAACTTATCTCAGACTTTATTACAAGACTTGGTACATTTTTAATTTATAACTGAAAATAATGAAAATGGCTATAGAATATATATGCCTCGCTTCTGGATTTGTTAAAGAGTTTGGTTCACAATAAAAACAGATTGGGCTTTAAGCCGTACAGGTTATTATTATAGTCAGAAGAGTTCTATCAAGGCGATTTCTGGCGGATTTGCTTTTACTTTTTAATAACTGCGTAATCAACATTACAGAGAAACAATGTGTACATACATTTTTTCAGAAAGAATCGCATTCTTTTAACCCTAACCAGCAGCTGGAAGAGTCTTAGTCTAAGTCTACGTTGCTTTGTACTCAATGTCTGGTATTGGGTAATAAAGTAGGGGGAACT